ATGCTCCTATTATATCAGAAGTATGGTCAGCTACTAGCCAAGTTTGCGGAAATGATGACCACAAAAATTACTACGATTGGGGTAAGCATAGTGGACTGTGCAACCCAATCCTTCCGCGTAAGTGCTGCTTCTATCCCGAGAAGAACTGCTAGTAACACCGTAAGCAACACGACACCTAGAGTCCAGAATATCAACTGCTGTTCCAATAACACAGGTGGCTCAGGTGTAACTAATGCGGTTCGCAGTTCGATCGGAGTAACTACATGTAAGGCTACTTCCAAACTCCCGAAGGAGTGCGTAGAAAAAGAGCAAGCCGGTACTAGCGAAAGTTGGGTTACGGTTGCTTCTAAGAAGGACCGTCATTTAAACTTAACATCACTCCCAAATGGGTTCAAAACTAAGAGCGTAGCGGAGTTTTCGGCTGCAAGCACCACCGGTTTCCTGTGGTACCTCTCCGAGTACTTCAATCACTAACTGCGACAACTCAAAAGATGTAAAGAAATAACTACCTGTACTGAGTGTACTGTGCTCCAATATCCCAGAATCAAAGTCAACGTCAATAAGAGGCAGGCAGTTAAATGACGTCAACCAGTGGGATATTATTAGTAACCAAATCAGAGTTGTACTGAAACCTGTACACCTAGTGCGTATTATGTGACATGCCAACTCTAAGCATTTCGGAGAGCCAAGACTTCTGCGCGTTGTGCTGAACTCCATCACTGTGGTAGCATCAGTACTACTGTCTACAGGTAGTCTCAGTAATGAACACTGCTCCATCCGTATCTTTACAGACATCCCATGGGGCGAGCCTTATTGAGTTAACCCCACCTTAGTGGACTACCGGAAGGAAACCTCAACCAGAACCATACTACTTCACGGGGTTCCTGAAACTGAAGCATGTGATGAGAATGAAATAATAACCCATGATAAAGAGGAGTAGTTTATATCCGTGAAACAATCTGCTTGGATGATGTGTTAGCGAAATCCGTGTCACGGCTGCGTACCTCCCCGAACTACAAAGGAAGTGGCCAGAGAGTGATGAAGGTGGTCCTTAAGTCAAAACATATCGTGGCACGGCTGCTAAAATGTTGGTGCATTTTCCGTTACATGCTACCGTTTAAGCTTCGACCAAAATCAATCAGCGATCTGCCTACTAGAGATGATATATCACTCGACGAATCAAACGCGATGGGATCTATGGAAGAACAATGCACCAGTAGTATGTCTAATGAGCCCATAAAACGTGTAGAAGGTGATACTGACCAGACACCTTACACTGTACCTATAAGTTTAACAATCGGACTAACTACGTGGACGATGAATCAGACGTTAAACCCAACTCCAAGTACACATCGAAAGAACGATTAGTCGCCGGCCACTCATTGGTCGGCGCAACTTCACGTGTGAATTACACAACCTCCGAAACATTGCCTAAGTCTGGGAAACTTTCATGTATGTACACTAACGCCCAAATGCTACTCAGTTAATTTACAGAACTTCGGCTACCTCACGTTGCGAATGCTTGGGACCTAATTTCTATTACCGAAACTTGGTTACATCAAGTGGTGACTGATGATGAGGTTGAGATAGCTGGAATGTCACTCATTCGGAACGACCGCACCAGCGGAGGAGGTGGGGTCCTAATCTAATACCATAGCGACTTGCAATGTGCAATAGTTGGGGATCAAGATACTCCCATTACCGACTCACTCAGTTTCCGTATCCGACAGAGACAAAGACGAATGTCTCCTAGCTGTCGTTTACCGCCCTCAATGTCCACTCCGGAAATGGATTCCTGCTTGATACGTGACCTGAACAGAGTAACACGCACTATGTACAGCCACATTCTCATCTCCGGAGACTTCAATCTACACGATCTGGATGTATCTGCATCACCCAGTGAACAGTTAAAAGCAGACTTGCATGAACTGATCGTTAACATTCCCTTGTACAATCATGTCACCACGCCCACTGGATTCAGCAAACAAACCGTCATATTGGACCTTGTGCTCACGAATGAAGAGCTCATGATTGACAAGTTATTGATGGATACCCTTCAGATCTCATTGACCATGTATTAGTGACGTTCAAGTATGTGTGTTATGCAGAGTATCGATCTGAACACTGGGAACTAACCCATACAATCACAGAAGCTCAAGCGCTCTTCGGTTTTTTTTAACAACACTGTCAGCGAATCATCACTAATACGGGCTGCCAACTGCGTGTCCACAACCACAACGGATGCAGGTGGGTAACAGGCGATTATAGTCAGGTTAGTTGGTTAGGCCAATAAATACGGCTGAACCACTTACAACAATTCTGGAACTTTGTACGTATGTCTACTCACCGCTTAGCGAGAACAATGTTTTCTCACAAATATGGGACGGTGTAATGTGCCTGGATAGTAGTGGTCAACGGCAGCGGGATCTGGAGACCCTTACCACTACGCTGAGTGCAGTTGTTTCGTCTCATACTTCAGATTGAAGTCCGTGCACCTTGGTCAGTAGCTGACTTAAGGCCTAACAGAACACTGATTACGACCTGCACAAGGTTAGATGAGTCTTGTCACCATGTATCTGAGGGCTTGTTTGGGACCATTAGGTCATAATGTGCTTTGCAACCTTACTTTTTTCTCTATTCCTCACCAACAGCAGCACCTTATAATCTATGGTTGACGGCAGCGAAGCGCAGCTAAAACTGCTGATGTACTGGGGTTGTTGACGTTGATTTCCTTAGGTAACTTAACTGATGAGATAGGCTACCAAAGCCAGGTCTAGTGATGTGAGTTTGTTCCAGGTATTGGGATGGTGCTTGAAACGGCAGATAGAATAGCGGCAACACCGAATTTATGACATGAATACGGTGTGATGTCTCGCAACTAGGAAAGCACCTGACAATATTTCATCTGCTAACGTTTGATAGGCAGCGAAAAAAAATTTATTGCCGATTTGTGCAATCCATTGAATTATGAGATTCTGTTCCAGTCGTCCAAAACTGGGTAAATCCTGGAGGAGTGGATAATATGGGGTCTAACTTCTTGTGTAACTAATTGTTTGGCTACCGCAGTTGCTACGTACAGCTAATATCAACCAACCGGAACCCAAGGAGAACAAACACTATGGCAACGTTGAACGTTGAGCGGCTTGGAAAGGTTACCTGCTTGCCGCAGTGAGCGGTGAACGATTGAAATGCGTCACCAAACAATCACTCGTGAATTTTAGACCAAATTTAACTTATCAATCAGCAGCAAACCTAACGGTTTCTATCGCCGGCATAAATAGTTTGTCCAATCAAGCTGAAATGCATGTCCAATCACATTTTGCACCAAAGGATGCTTGGAAAACTGAGGGGTTTGAATGTTTTCGTGTCAAGTAAAGTCTATCACAGCATGTCTGAAATGTGACTGAAGAAGGAAGCAATAATGGCGCTGGTCACCCACATTAACTAACAGGAAGACATTTGCCCGATTACAGTCTAATGTTGGGCACAGCCGTGCTTCAGAAATAAATGACGTTTACAGGCCTGCTCTAAAACATCTACAGTGTTTGCAAGCGGCTATTGTACCGGTATGGGAATATGTGTGTTTATGGCCATGGGAAACACGATGTACAATGGGTACTGAACCTGTCCAACCCTAGCTATGATCACATGCCAACTACCCCGATAGTCGCAATCCAGGAAACTGTTCCAGTCGTTTTCGCGCGTTGATTTGTCCTCGATGGAGCAGGGGGTTCAAAATAATTAAAGTAGGTGGTTCTCACTACCTTCTGCATACCGAGTCTTTCCAAGTTTATCAGACGAGAGTGCAATTTTCCCCATCCATCTACACGAGCACTCAGCAGTTTAATGTTTCTCTGACCAGATGCTGCTGTTTATACCATTCCCAGTGTGTAATTTAAAGACTTGCCAAATCAAATGTCAATCCCAAGTACCATATAACCATGGTTCTACTCTCACAAATTTGTCATACTAACCATATGGCCTAATAGTACCCAAGTGTTGTGTGTACACTGCTACCCATACGACTAATTATCGTCTCTGCACCATTCGACTGTTTCATTCATTCAGAAAATTTGGTCAAAGCTCCGTGAATCGTTGGTGGAATGAGTAGAATCTGGGATAGCGAACAGTGCGAGCGCCGTACGGGAGAAAAACAACACATGCATCATTATCAAAACAGCATACTTTGTTAAGGGAAAATCACATGAGTCATGGCAAATGCGAGTTCATGTAAAAGCAGTCCGCAGTCTTCACTGACTTACTAGTGATACCATAGAAATTATGAATGGCAAACTGCTATGAGACCCAACAATTATGACGGAAAACACTTAAAATTGATATGTATGAAAGAAATTGTAGAGGTTGCAGCTACCTGTCAATATGCAGAAGAAAGCCTTGTTAGATCTATTAGGCATGTTTTGGATATGAAAAAGAAAAGTCCATTTTCCTGTGCACCTGCATCCGCATCGATGAGTAGGTGAGGGGCTGTCTTTGTTGTGAGTAGCACTGCACTATTGGTCACAACAACAGCCGGTACACCCCAACACTGTATCCTAAAATCTAAATGTCATGGGAGATAATGATAGCGTTTTCAGCGGACAGGCCAAATGCAGTCGGCTACTGGCTCAGGGCATCGCACCATTAGAAAGTGTCAAAACGATGAGAATTTGAAATCCTCGGTTCATCAAGAATGTAGAACTCAAGTAGTTATGTGGTTCCTCAGGCAATCACTGCTGATCAGCTGCACTCGCATCGTCAAGTATATTAAACTTAAGAAATCTGTTCCAGATTCATTCCATGAAAACTGTTTTCACCCTGTACTTGAAGGAGATAACAAATATCTACCAGATAGTAGTAAAATTACATCTTTGATAATCGTTAAAATACTACGCCTTCTGCAATAGCCTGATAAATTTTTGATAGTGGATTAGATTCGCTCTTACGAACGGTTCCACCCCTGCAAGCATCAGTAAAGTACGTTCCTAAGCTTTACTGACTAATCAACACTCCAGGTCGACATAAATCTTTTCGCTATAGTAAACGGCAGTAAGCTTACCCATACGTTTAATCGTTATCTCCCTTGTTTCTGTCAATTTAAAGTTGTACTCCTTCAGTTGCAAGCTAACTTGGCAACGAAACAGTCCTTCATCGGTGTATCTAGTGGAGTTTGCGAACAGAAACATCTTGTCCCCGGTTGGTAGAAGGTCCTTCGTCACTTCACATTGATCATCAAGGCACTGAAAAGGAAGAAAGATTACAAATAGGAGTTTAATTACTGCGCTATCATATGAACACTTGTTGGGAGGCGATTAAAACGTGTTTTGCTGGAAATGCCTTTCAACAAATTAGAGAGCAGTTGTCAATGGAGAGCTGTTAGATGAGGTGAAACCAAGTCAGACAGATGTAGAATATCTGACTTTGTTGAGGGATGCCAATATACGCATCGATGTTGTTGGTTACAGCAGAAAAAATGTACCATAAAGGTGCATGATTGTAATTAGAGTGGAATTGGATCATGATGGTAGCAAAAGAGGCTGGGCAATGAGGATAGCCGAATAACCGAACCCAGGATGGGTCAAGTACTATTACGTACAGATGAATAACAAGTATGGTCAACATTTGACATGAAAAGGAAACCCGCTTAAGTAAATGGAAAATTGGACTGGCATCTAACGAATATATTCCGCCGATTCGTAGGCGAATAGGCTGCCTTTAGGTAAACGCTGCACCACTAATGCTTGAAGATCCACTGTAGAGTATTCGTTCAATACACGACAATGTACCACTTGAACGATGGTGTCAGTGCTCGTTGATGGAAAGAAAAGAACCCGACAATACTTTGCAACATATGCCAAAAATCGAGGATGCGGTGTCGGATAGTGGACAACCGACAGACGCAGGAAGACTTAGATGTCATGAGCTTGCTCGTTTTATTTGCCCGTCAAGTCAAAATGCGAGGCACAGTGTGTGCTAATGTAATACGCTCGAGTATACTATGCAACATTTGCATAGAAATAACGGCCAAAGTCGGCTGAAGGTGATTACTTGAGCAAAGCCATTGACGAAGAAGCCACCCAATGGGTCTCGGGTTACAGGCTTAGTTGGACCAATTAATAATAGACGGGATTCGGACAAACTATTGGACAACCTGAAACAATGGAAATTCACATGCCAAACAATGGGAATTCAGGCCAAACAGGCAAGTTTGATTCGTATCGTCTGCGACCCAAACTCATTTCACCATAGCAAGCCAAGGCTGCTTCATGTGACGTTTCATTCGGTGGATGAAGCGCAGACCATCCACGTGTCAGCTAACCACCTTCGTGATTCGTCATGCGACGTTCGTATATTGCTTGACATCCATTGGAGTGAGCGTCGGCAAAGGTTGCATAACCCAGGAGAATATCGCAAGCAAAACGACGAAAGATCAATCCTTATCCACGGTGCTCCAGAAATCCAGACTTTCGATGAATCACAAGCCCAAGCTCATGACTTGGAACAGCGGCGCTACATCGGCGAAGCCCTCTCTCTGCATGATATGATTGCCAACCCAACGTCAAGATTACCGATATCACTCAATTATAAAGCAAATGGTCCTTAGGTGTTGAAACTCTTTCTCTATTCTCAAATAAATGGTTGAAAGCGTGCTGGGAAATTGGCATAAGTTACGCATTAAACTGTCATTATAAAGAAGTCTGAACGCGGTTGAAGCCAGGCCACCATTGGTTAAAAGAGCACAAACCAGCGAGAATTTGCCGCCAACCCAGCTGTCCGCATTTCTGAATCGGAGCACAGTGCATCTCCCAAGCCGTCCGAGAGAGAAGAAACAGGCAATTCGCCGCATATCCCCTCTGAAGGATTAGAAACCGGGTGCTCTGTGCAATAGCCAGAAAAGGCCTGGGCGGTAAGCCAGAAACACATCAAAACAAAGGTTGGCAACCGACCTCTCGAGGGTTGGCGTAAATTCACGAAAATGTTCCTTTGTTCAAACATGCTGCTGGCATCCACAGCTCTCACTTTTTTGTATCCAAACACTCAAGGCCTCCTCAGCAAATAGGCCAAGCTTCGACCTCGTCAAGCCTCTGTGTCTTTGGACCTCATCATGACAAGCAAGACATAGCTGGACAACGTGATTACCGACGCCGAGATCTTAATGCCTGTTCTGTTACTCTTGCGCAACGACCGAGCAGTGGCGCAGCATAGGGGGTGGGGGCGGCATGTGATAGAGAGCGGTATTTTTAATACGAATGCATATTTAATACCAAGTGTAAATTCATCCAAAGTACTTCATGACTTAAGTGGTAAAAACGAATGAGGATAACCATATTATGGCCGAAGATCAAATTGGCATTACAAACGTTGATCTCCGGGCAACAGAATGTGATATTGACAACATGGATGCAGCGAGAATACCTTTTGTGTTGATGATGCAGAAGAAGCGCGCTTAGTTGAACAACTGGAAATACAACCATACATTTGCACGATAACACGCACATCAAGCGATTATATGGTTATCCGCCAGTGGGCTGTTAAGATTGTTCATGAACTTATTGCTATGCTTGTCCGGCTCGGAGCTACTGTCCTGCAATATGTCGAACATGAATTTAATAAATGGTGCTACCTGGAACGAATGCAAAGCTGTGGCTAAGAAGCTAATAACGAACTATCTTTTTCAGAACTTGCGAAACGGAGAATAAAATTGTAAACCCCGATGGTGCATTCTCCTTTAAAAGAGGTCCGGTTTGGTTTCGGCTGCAGGAGGTCTTCAACGGGATAGTTTAGTTTCTCAACTGGTGGAAACTAAATCCAAAGGCATCTGAGGACGGATCTAATAAATCGCGTGTTCAGTCATTCCTCAACCGCAAGAGGCAAGGGATCTGGCTAGTTGAAGAAAAGGTACTTGACAAATTGGGGCGAGTAGTTGTAGAGAACTGGTGGCGTGAAATTTCAGCTAGAATACTTGATATCGTCAGGTTTCTCACCAGTCAAAGCATGACACTGAGGGGTCGCCGGGAAGACATCAAAGATGACAAAGGAGGCCAAAAATAGCGAGGAATTTATCAAAATTTGTACGTTTATCGACTAAGTATAAGCCTGTTCTTCGCGAACAGTTGGCAACAGTTCAGCTGGGAAAGAAAATTAGCACCATTTATTTTTCGCTGCACGTTCAAAATGAATTAGTGAGCATTTTGGTGAATCAGATGAGAAAGAAAATCATAGACCAGGTCAAGCAAAGCAAGGATGTTTTATAAATTTTTGATAGCACTCCCGATGTATCCCACAAAAAATCAGATGGATGAAAGTGAAGTGACGGTAGAGAAGCCGTTTCTCAGCTTCATTGACGGCAACAGCGAAACGGCAGAAGAAATCCCTGGAATGGTATTGAGGGAAGCAGAGAAGGATGGAATTCAGATTGACAACTGTCGTGGGCAAGCATTTGCCAATGGTGCTGTTATATATATATATATATATATATATATATATATATATATATATATATATATATATATATATATATATATATATATATATATATATATAAAGCGAGGTATCTAAGGACTGTCCGCAATTGTAAGGGTTCGCGGATTTACAACCGCTAGGGGGGCACTTTTACCTCCGCCCTGGGCGTCAACAGTATTTGCTACGCCACTGCGACCGACCCACTAGGGGAGGCGGTGTAATTCTTTACTACAGTTCCGACCTGAACATCGACAACATAAACGACCCAGGTGTTCAAACCGTAGACTCGTTATGGTGCCGCCTACACCCAAGACAGGACGATATGTGCCTAGTGGCCATTTTATATCGCCCACCAATGTCCACTTTAGAAATGGACAAGCCTCTAGCCTCTGCTATGACAAACCTACTGGCACGATCTTACAGTCACGTTCACCTGGTAGGGAACTTCACGTGCACGCCCTAGAAACTCCGTTCACTTTTGGTGAGCAATTCAATGCAGAAGTCTAAGGGCTAATCGTTGGTTCATCGGTGTACACCATGTCAGTAGAACAGCGCAGTTCAAAACAGGAAACAAATCAGCCATTATGGACCTCGTTTTTACCAACGATGATCGATGTATTAACAACGTGCAGTCATTTCGGTCGCAGCAATCCCGTGACTCTACTGTTCCGCTACATGTGCTTCGCAGAATATCTTAAAAAAGGTACCAAGGAATCGCACGTCGTAACCAACCATGATAACCTGTCCACTCTCATCTATGCAACAAGCTGGTCTTTCCTAGTCGAATAGTCCCCCGAGAGGGAATTTGCAACAGATTCAACAGGCTCATGGTAAGCACAACTGAAACCAAAATCCCCTGTTCGAATAAGAGGAATTCGTTGCTAAGGTTCAGGACTCGGAAATGCACGGCATTGAAGGATTCGGCATAGCTCACCCCCGTAGCCTCTCCGAGAGGGGACACCTGGTATGTCTATACAACACAGAGGAACCACTGCATCAAATTCGGCAAAAAGAGAGCAAAGCAGAAACGGGACCGCGTGAGAGGACTTTGCTCTAACCCCAAGCTGCTACACAGACCCGTAAACAAACTCCGCAGGTTCAGCGCGGAATTCCTGCTATGCACACAACATACGGGTTAGCGCAAACGGTACAGGAGTCGGCCAAGGTTTCTCGCCATAGTTTCAGAATGTACCGTCATCTTACATCTTTTATACGCAAATCAGGCCGTCACTAGGGCTTAGCCGCATATTTTTTAGATGTACTGAAGCGGGTAATGTTCTTGCGTGTGTACAACTTGCTTGGTGTAGATGGTACTCGCCCAAATGCGTTGCCACGGGTGCAGCTAAACTGTTAATAGTATTTTTCCAACAATTTCTTAACGAGACTCAGATCCGCACAATGTGGAAGCACGAGATCATCACTCCATTCTACAAAAGTAGTGACCACATAGAACCAGCAAAACCTGATGAACTTCTTTCGGTGACCCCAAAATCATGGAGTCCAATGTTGCTGAGGCACTCGTAGGCTAATTGGAGAGTAACAAACTTCTCACTCGGATCAGCACTGACTTCGCCAACATCGGCCCTTCACTACTGACCTGTTGATAGCTCGTACATGCTGGACAAAATCTGTGGATACTGGTGTAGGAGAAGATGCGGCCTATCTGGATTTATCAATATCATTCAATCAGTTGGACCATCGCATTCTACTGCACGAATTCTATAATTATGGAATCGGCGATCCCCTTCTGGACTAGATAGGCAAGTTTCGTTCAAGGTCACCTGAATGTGAGGGTACGTAGTATCTTATGCGAACCAAGAGAAGTCCACTGTGACGTACCTCAGGGCTCGTTACTCGAGCTCCGCCTGTTCCTGATCTTCATAAATGATCCCGCAGGGCTGCTCTCTTCAAATTTCCCACTATTCGTCGAAACCCTAATGACATGCTATCAGGACATTGGAGAATCACACAGCCCTGTAGGACGATCTGGATAAAGCACACACATAAGTAATCAAGAACATGAGCCCGTTTAACGCTACTAAGTGTAAAGTTCTTAGCATGTCATCAGAACACTCAGAAGTACCGGTAAGGTCCACAAACACTACAGCAACACATTAGTGCGATCTCGGCGAGTTTATGCAAGGTGGTTTTAGTTGTTTGAGGCAGACCGAAAAAGCATCAAGGAAAGTAAATAAGCAATTCGGCCTCATTCGTAAGGCTTTCGGAAATTTTGACGCCCATCTTTCCGGAAATGCTTGGCGCGTACGTGAGGCCGCATGCGGAATATGCTATCCAAGCGTAGCAACCCTAACAGAAGCACCACCTCACCGCAGTCGATACTGCACAATGCAGGGTGACGAAGCTGAAAACTGTAAAAGTGCACAACGGATATTATCGGCGTCTACAGTGCGACCGCATTATGGCGCAGCAGATCCTATAAAAACAGCCACACTTGCTACAATCTTTTAAAACAGCCAAGACACATATCTGAAACGTTATCAGTTTAAGTTGGCCACGCAGTAAAACTGACTGGAATGCTGACCAAACTTTTTCTCTCTCCGAATGCCTCAGCCCTGGAACTACCTCGCAGCGCATGAAATTAATGCTCCCACTATAACAATATACAAAAAATGGCTTGATGTTATCCTGACACATTTGCACTACGTGCTATAGCTCATGACCATCAGATGATGGCATTAGTGCAGCATAAACAGTGGATGACGTCATTGTTCGCTTAAACTTCAAGCCGGAATACTCACATCAGCGTTATTCCAAACCTCTTGGTGACTCATAAATCTCGTGTGCCTTTTTACCGACAGTTATTTTTGCCTTGTAGTTTGCACCCTAACTCTCCCACGGGACTTGTCAAGCATTTGCATTTCTACGACGTTGTAAATCATTGCTTCATTGCTCTAGTTTATTGTGACAAACAGTTTCATTCTGAACCGAAATTAGATCCGAATTAAATGTAGTACGCTTTAAGCACGAGGACCGTGCTTGAAGTGAATTGCAAACTCGCAACCCTAACTCTAAGTGCCTATTTCGGAAAGCCCAATAATGGATTCTTAATCATTGTGACAAAGCGTTCTCCGACGATGAGTGGTATGCTGAGGAATGGTTGGGTTTCTGATTTTCCACTCGCAAAATGAAAACACTTTGATGTCCTTGAAGTAAACGAGTAATATCTATCATCCATACAATTCCTAATAATTAGATGGGAGGAAGCAATGTTTGCATGCCTTATGGAATGAACCAGCGTTAAAGTGTCACGAAACTTACCAAATGGGTAGATGCCTATTAGTTCCCCTACCCATCCAAAGCAGGATAAATGACCTAGTCTTCTGATCATCGGAAAAGATGTGAAATAAAGTGCTTACTTTCTGCCAAGTGGCTACAGCTTCACCACCGATGATTTCCGGCTTGCAACCAAGTTGATAGTCTTGGGTGGCATCGTACGAGTCTTCAAGTGCCCCACTGATAGGCAATGCGGACTCAATGGGTTTTTCACGATCAATAAGAATGTGTCGTATTCGTGGTTTCGCTGAAATGATTAAAAAAGTGGATGAAAATTATCATAAGATCTTAGTGAATGTCTAGGAGTTAGTCACCGTTGTTGAATCTAACCGAGCGATTTGTTCACGCAGTAGTGACGCTATGTACATCACTGCCAGTAGTAGCCAGCCTTGAAGGTTTGTGACAGGCAATAACTGATGTTTTTCCTAGTCCATCACTTCCATGAACATGAAATACCGCTCAGACTGTGGACAAAAACGGGGTTCATATTGGGGAAGGCGACTGATAAGTTTAAAGAAGTTACGAAAGACTGTTTACTTCAACGTACTGTAGTAAAAAACTTCGCTGAGGGGGAACAAAGCAACTCATAATCCCTCGAGCTCATGAATAAGTTTCATTTGAAAAGACAGTGGAGAGTACTCGACAGGGGACGCATTTTGATACCCAGAACACGTTATCACACTGCGTCGAACAGACGCAGCGGCGAACATTATTCTAAAAGGAATGTCCAGAACTGTAAACACCAATTGCCATCCTATCAGCAACTTAACATAAGTGGAGGAAAATAGCCAACTCATGAGGACCAAACTTCTTCGAATAATAATAATGATGCAAATTCTCGATTCCACTAGACGCGCTTTCATACATGATCAAATTTACGTAATAAAATTTAATCAGGACACCCACAGGTGGGGTCCTTTTATCAGAAATGGTTTACTGGTCCCTATTCCCAAACTGTACACTGTATTCCGGCCACTCAGTGTGAATTAGTATGTGTATGCACTGTAAAAATAGAACGTAGCAAGTGCCAGCATCAAGTACCTTTATTTGCAGCGCTAAGGATGTCGTATATGAACGATACTAACAGCACCTCCCAACACCGTTGCGCGTAACCCGGAGTTCGTACGGCGGCCTGTTTAGGCTGACAAAGCTGTTTGAATTAAATCCGTATCTGGCGTGCAGCATGTATCAAGAAAAGTATAATGCACAAAATCAACCCTTGCAACTGAAAACAGGTACAACTATAACGATACTCAACTTACAGTGTTGCTAACATACCAGTTTTTAGTATAAACAGTAATTAAACATGGATAAAGTCCTTCCACAATCGAACCGGAATGGCATTCAAGAAAAGCCATTGTGTGTTTGATAAGCCAACAAACAAAAGCAAAACGTACTCCGGATGTTCATCACAAATGGCCGGGAGATTGTGTCGAATGTCTCATTGTATTTCACTGTGCACCGGAATTCGTAGGTACTTTCCGCAGTGTTACCGGATACGGGCAGGGTAAGCGACTCTAACACCAATTGGTTATTTGTCCAACCACTGATCGACTTGGCCGGTTGTCGCGGATCATTACCCCGAAGCCATTCTCCGCCCTCTTCCCCAGTACCAATCTCCCACTGATAACTTGAGGGTTCCACTCGATCACCGGTGGCGATGTCTGAAACGATTAAAAGAGACGGTCAAACTACTAATGAGGCTGATATATCCAACATGAGCGCTGACTCCTTTTTCCATGCAATCTAATAGCACGTGAATAAAGAGAACTGAGTTCCATGGAACTCAAAGCTTACTTGAATAAACACATGAGGTATTAGGTACAAACGAAAATATTGATTTGTTCAATAGGACACACATGGCATGAACATCTCATAGTGAACATCAATTCGTGACCCAGACCTGCGATTCTCGAACAAGTTCAGCTTCTCAGAGAAGCATGATTGACAAATATCAAAGGCGAGAAATACGGCTGGGTTGGTTTGTCATTCCTTCTCACTCTGTGAGTACCGGCTCCTGCTATACAAAGCATACGTACCGCCAACTACTTTATGTTGCTCACTGGTGTGCATAAGCGAGCAGAAGTTTGACAAAATCCTTATTGAGCAAACTCAACATCAATTTACCAACATAGTAATTGGCTACTTCACAAAAATGACTTATAGTGAGCGCTGTACTGTTCTTGAACTGCAACCCATATGATTGTGAAAGATGATAGTAAATCCGTGTTTTCTAATCCCAGCTATACATAAGTATGCTCACACTGCAGGAGTAAATGTGTATGACGCAGAATAACAAATATTCCCTATGTGACATGATCTCTAACGTCCTAATTTCAAGGACAAATACATAAATGAGAAAACATCTTTAGCACTGCATATTCCGAGCTTTGGAACAAAGTACCCCAAAGTATCAGAAAGTAGGGCAGATCCCATGAGTTTGAAATGTCCGGCAAGTAGTATCTCACCATTCTAAACGTCAAATCTACCTCACGGATCTCTCAGTCTTGTGAAAAGACATTCGAAAAAGGTATCGACGTCACATAGTAGCAAATTCGCATCTTGTTACTGCTTATGAAAGCCAGCTGCTTCAGTATGAATATAACGGAACAAATATCTCGCCAAGTTTTGTTTTGCGGGAAAGCGTGACAGAATTCCATCTGGGAACATGCTTATATTCATCAGCGAGACAAACGTCAAAGTAAATCAAGGTTGAACAAGCGTAACTGGAAACTGACGAAAGAAGACCTATTGAAGCCTTTTCATGAATTTGTGGAACCCTTGCATCGACACTTCTCCCGGGCATAGTCAAGCGATTTCACCCCAGAACACAATGAATGCGTGATATTTACTTGAGTTTATCTTGCAGTTCAACAATGGTGTAACACACACAAGTATGCATATCTGCCAGCGCCACATGCTGGAGTGGTGTCAATCCAATCCTATGTTGCCTGACCACCTGTGAAACATAAGTGTGTATTCCTTGATCTGTCCCAGTGTGGGAACGGTCTCTCGTACCGTCGAAAAATAAAAAATGTATTGTACGTTGTCATCACTGGCACAACAGCAACTCCTTCGGTGTTGGTCAGTTAAACCACCATCTATGTGCTTTTCGTAGTTACACCCGACCGTTGATCCATCTAATTTTGCGACCATACAAACGGTAATGCTTTTCGTGAATATAACACATCTGTGGAGACATTAAGGTTATGAACTTTTTCCTGTTGTTGATCTCGTCAAACTTTAGTTAGAAATGAGTTATTGTGTAAAATCTTTCCGAAATCCTTATTGCCCTAGTAACATTCCTCCTGTTACAAAATGTTGTTCCGATTACATCCGGCATGAGCAACCTCTTAACTGCGACGCAAATACAGTAGGACTGAGATGTTACTCACCGTCCACGTAACATGTCAACGTCTTTGACACTCCCACAAATGCGTACACGCGGCCTCGAGAGTCCTCGTCAAATATACGGACATTGTACTTTTCTTGGATTTCTGCAATTATAAAACGGCTCAAATTTCAAGACAAGGACATGAGGAAAATTCTCAACCCTTGCGTAATTCCAAATAGAAAATGGGCGGGTAAAGAAAATGCTGAAGCTTCATTACCGAGGATATTTGTTAAATATATGCATTCCATTCTAATCACTGACGAACGCTTTAAAACAAGGTCCTGTAATAATAATAATAACATCAATGATACGTAATGAAAGAATTCAGAGAATTAAAAGATGGTTATCAAGGAGATCGAGTCCCTGCATCTCATTCGATTGACCCAAGTGATAAAACTTGTTAATTTGGGAGGGCATTATAAAGATCTTCCTTTTGAGTTGTAACATTGAAATTAACAAAAGAACTACCTATTTATATCCAAACCACTCATGAGTAAGGTGAACACATGAAAGAGGCAGTTCTTGATGATAGTGATAAAAAAGTAAGGCAACACAGGTTCCGTAATCACATCATCTCAGACTGCTCTGAAAATGCGCCATAAATGCTGTGGTGCAGTGAACTCCACAAAGGGGACAAATACTGATTTACTAGAAAAATCGAATGACGAATCTACTTCTCGATCACCAGCAGCAAGCAGCTGGTGATAACCAGAATTGACACATTTAGCGTCTTATCATTCGGAACTCAGGTTCTCATCGCGGTATCCATGGTGTCCATTTTAAACATGTGCGTGGTATCACCTTCCACTAGATACCCTATTAAATAGAATTCGGACAAGAATTCAACTTCTAAGATTTTATCCACTAAGGCTTGAGGCAAGTGACAATGAATAAAAGGAGAATACGAAGCTTGGTGTTGCTGTGACAGCTCTTGTGTAACAGATGCTCCAACTGCTGGAGCTCACCGAGATAACTTTACTGATGGCTAACAGGAGTAGAGAAGGAGGCGATATGGAAGTGAGATGAGCAACCAGTATGGTTTCGTCGGTTTCTTTATCATGTTGTATACAACAGACAACCTTTCGATCCTTGACAATAGTGAACTCGAGGTAGTTGACGAAGTTGCTTATGTATGCAGTCACATTATCAGCGGCGGGTGTGCGACTATTGCATTTAATTCACTTATTCTAAAAGCTAGAAGTGTGTTCGTAAACTTTCGGTGCCTGTCGCGCCTAAAAAGGGTGTCTTGCGGTCGGAAATGTCGTGTATACAAGGTCAGGGTGAGGGCTATCCTACTGTGTGAGATTGAAAGTTGGCCCCACCGGTCTGAGGATCAGAGGAGCCTTTGGTCATTGCTACCTAGGCAGCATTGTTGGTGCCGGATGGCCCCAGCGTATTCAATATGACGATGTACGCAGGATAGTACTAATCGAAGCTAGTGGTGTTATCCCTTGAGAAACACAATTGATGTTGAATGCGTTATGTTCTCGAGAGCACGTACTACGTATGCCCGGTCAGTGTGTGCCGAGGAGAGACTTGTTATGTTCGCTGGAAGCCGGATGCGGAAATGCTGACTTGCCAGAGATATGAAGTCTCTGACGATTAAACTGGGTGATGTTGCTCCGTCTCCTCTCGTTTCAGACACTAAAGAAGACAGCGCAAGTGTAAGCCAAAGGAGGCTCGAAGTTAAAGCGGCAGTCCAATTGAATTTTGTTTGTTGTTGGCTTGTAGTTATTGTAGTGAACTTGTGCTACGGTGGTATGGTAAGTGACCATTTTGTGCAAAGAACATCGTAGTGCGGGCTAATGAGTCTTACATTTGAAACTAGTACAAGCATTAATAGTACTATTATGAAAGTGCTACTTGTACCAACTCCTCTCGTCTGAAAGAACGAAGACGTTTTCCAGTTTATACAGTCAAACCTGTTTAAGATGACCACTCAAGGGACTGAAAATTGTGGTTGCCATTGCCAGGTGGTCGTCATAGCAGGTTGGAATGTATCCCACGCGTAGTAAGTAACTGGGATTCCGATCCGTGGTTCCTAAGAGCGCTATCCTCCAGACATGTGCACACGTGAGCTGAGAATAGGAACGAAAAGTGCGGCCTCGCGCGACCATGCCGCGACCCAGAAAAACGCTGGCTGATAGCAATAATTCATTTACTGATTCATCCGAAGGTACCCATGTCTTCTAAACGTTCCTATTTATAATCCAATGGCACTATAAGGCATAAATTATATAGGAAGGCGAATGTTCGTACAATACATGAGATACAACCTAGTGGTAGTATCCTGAGGAAACTTCAGTTGGTTCACTGCGGATGGGCACGGCAGAAACCGCAGTGTCATTTGGATGCGCTTAGCTGAAGTCTACGAGGTTTACACTGACGCATGACAGTGGTTTCGATTATGTGAGCTCAGGTGTGATGTGCACAGTTTGGGTCGCTGTAGTGTGATAGTGTCGATGATCCTGAGTGGGAGGCGGGCTCAGGCGAAGTTTGTGCACGTTTGCTGACAGTATGCCAGCTCCGCCGTAGTTACAAGTTTACCCGAAGATAAACGAGGTTTGACAACGCAGTAACAAGTCGAGAAGTAAAAGCAAAAGTGCGGTTGTACTAACTTTTTCAGTGGGTAAATACAAAAGGTTATATAATTGTATGAAGAACATGACCACGGTCTAGATAGTAGTTGGACCAAAAATCGAAGTTCTCGGAACTTGAATAGTAAAGAATGTTAGGCGCAAAGAGGTTCAGATGACCATAATTAAAACTCGTTTTTCAACTTACTCTGAATGTAAACTACTCGCTCTTCCGCGATGTCGTCCGACTCCATGTAGGCCCTGCAGTGGAATTCGGCCATATCGTCTCTGAATGAATAAGACTCCGCTTGAATCGATATTTTGCTATTCGACTGTGCGGTGATCTGTAAAGTTTCCATTCTAGGAGGTCTCACTGGAAAGAGTTGAGACGGAATCGGAACGTCGCCCGGTATCTCTGGTTGTCGGTAGTACCACACAAGACGCGGCAGTGGTTCACCGATGCTGGAAAGTGGCGGCCCGCTTTCAGCATCGAAGACTGCGCGGCAGTTTAGCTAAGGACGGAATGCGAAGGCATTAAGAATTCTCAACAGAACCACCGCTTCGTTGATGCCGGGAACTGTATCTTCACATAAAAATATATACATATACAGTCAAACTTGTGAAAGGTGTCCACTCAAGGGACCGACAGAAAGTGGTCGTCTTGGACAGTTGGTCGTCATAGACAGGTTCATGCATAGGGACATTCTTCATAGGAGAAAATGTTGGGAATGTTTTTGATGGTCGCCACAGACAGGGGGTCTCCATGGCAGGTCGGACTGCATATATCTCGTTCTTTCTGAGTCTAACCGAATAAAGCAGAGTCGCTTGTGTTCACTTGCTACTGGTCACCACCTTTCCAGGTCAGCACTGCGTCACCTCACGCTAACATGAACTTCCCATTAAACGGGCAGAGTGTTTGTTCAATTGCCTGAGATTGTCATCTATCACAGATTGATGACATCGGTGATGCGACACAAGTCCTTTACGACGATTGCAATCGTTGGAAAGCATAATGATTGCCAAGATGTTGTTTGAACAATTGTTGTGAAAAGAAAGCGTCTAGTAACATTTTAACAAAGCATCAATCGGATCACGATAAAAATCACTAAGCAATATAATACTAATACTAAATTAACTTACTACAAATGCTACCAATGCCTGTAGCAGAGGAGCCATACCTCCATTATTCAATGAAGTACAAAGTTCACAGCACGAACAAAGCACTGTCAAGGTGCTTCTTAGTAATGTTCACTAGTTGGTTAGTGAAATGCAATAGTTGCGTCATCTGACTATTCGTTAAACTCCTGATTTATCACTTATCACTAAAAGCAGGTAAAATTCTAACACTCCAAATGAGTTCTACCAACTAGCGAGCTGTGCATCCTTCTTGAATAGCCGACACGTTGGCATGGCGGGCGGGTGTGATATTTATGTTCGGGACGAGCTGTGTACTCAGTTAATAGTAGACCCGCAACTCAGCGTTATAAGTGAATCTGCATGCATCTAGGTAAATTGTTCGCTGTTTATGGTTGGATACACTATCAATCCAGCTCGCCATGATGCTCTAATTTTAGAGCATCTCACTTTCTGACTGTGCCTCTGAACTGCTCTTCGCCCGAAGGATACGCGAGGTGACTTAACTTTTCCTGTGATTTCTTGGGAATGGTGTACTTCACCAACTAGGCTTTGGGCTTTAATGCTGTATTTCTGGTCCAGGAATGGATACAATCGGTTCATAAATTTCCCATGGAAAATAACATACTAGACCTCATATTTCCCGAAATATCCAAGCTACGTGCGTTGATGTGTTATCTGGATTTCCATGCAGCCACCATATATGCGTGCATCTCCATTTCGTCGTCCTCAATGCAGACCCATGGGGACATTAGAAATACAAAATGAGATCCATTTGGTGCCCTGTTGTGAAAAATGAACGGGGATATGTACTTTCTGACCAGAGATCCACAGCTTGCAGTAGATGAAACTTAGCTAACTAGCCAACACTGCTTTGATATTCTTGCTTCGCTCTTACTGAGATGTAATAAGCAAATATCCACGAAAATCATGCCTTCTTCGTAGGCTGAAAATACTTCGCTCAAAAATAAGTTAGACTAGCGACTTCTCCTTGCTTATCATACAGAATAAGATCTTCGACCAGTTAGTGTCGAATCGTGCCATATGGCTTTTAGCAGAAGAAAAGCGAGCACCGGCATATGACAACAAATCTGAAATCTTGATCAAGCTACTGAAAGCCAACAACGACAATTATTCCAAACTGGTGTCATGCATCGTATTACATGACAAATCCATGACCAAGGGACCAGACCATAAGTGGGAGCGTTATGAATGAACACCATTCCACTTCGTTTATTACCTCAAACAGCATATTCAAGCTTAGCGTTCCTGTTGATTTTGTCAAACTTAACACTGCAATTCGATTGTGGTGCTATTCAGGCCCATATTGATTGGATCCGGTTTTAGGGTGCCCAGGACCTGATGGTCTACCAAATTTTCTAAGAAACTTTAGCGGTTAGTATATAACACATACTTTTAAATATGGTTACTATGTAAGTAAAACTGAGGACAATCCGAGATCAATGGAAATTTTCTGGTATAGAGCCTACAAATATGTGGATTAGAACAATGCATAAAACTACCGCCCAACTAGCAAGACACCGATTATTTCGAGATTAATGGAAGGAATCGGGAAATAAAGAATGGTTTAGCATGCTATCAATAGAGTTAAGAGACCGAGGCAAACATTGGATTTGGCTAAACGCTCATGCTAGACTTGTCAGCTCGCATTTCCAATTAAGCTGAAAAACTCTAGTGACAATGGCAAAGCAGCCTTCATTCTCCTCAATCAAATGCGGAAAGCCTTTGAGAAATTGCCGCACGACAGCTACTTGGAAATGTTAACATGATTCGGGGTCACGGACCTCTTGCATTCTTGGTCCAAATTCTACTCCATAGGTCGTACGCAAAATGTAAAAATATGGCACATTAACTCCACGTCCCTAAATTTCAGAAGTGGTGTGATTCAAGGTAGTGCGTTAGGTCTCTTGCTCTTCTTAATGTATAACAATGAGATAACCGAAATAAGATATTTTAGGATACCATGTATTTATGCGGTCGATGTAAACACACTCCATATTTTCTATATCCGGTGCTCGAACGATACTATAGATAACACTCGCTTGGACCTACTGACCTTGTAATCGTGGTGTACCGACTGAAAAAAGTTTTTCATGGCAGATGTAAGAAGCGGATTGACTTCCAGATGTGAATTTTCTACTAAAGCTTTTTACATTGACAGAAAACCTATCCCTGTGATAAGAACATGCGTAATCTAGGCATCTGTTAATCTAATACTCTGAATTTTGTCCATCAAGTTGAATTCACAACGGCCATGTCTCAAAATAGTGCAACACCCCACTTAAAATCATTCGTGATGCGTGATTCGAAGCTGCATTTGTTTGAAGTATGCCCTCGCCCCGTGCTAGGATACTGCTCGACTATTTTTACAAGCGGTAGGAAATGTGAGTGCATGTGCTTATAGAACATACAGCGCTCATTCGCCAAGGCTCTGTTCGACCCCTCGTCCAAACTAAACTACTCCGAAGGTAGTAAGCGGCCACAGTTAGAACCACTGTGGCTAGGACGCATAAAGCTAGGCTTAATATTCTTATCTGATTTAAACCGAAAATGTGAGGTTTTATAAATATTACTATTCGCTTCAAAGAAGTAGGCACATACGCAATTAGAAATACTAGGCACCCAATTCAGATTGTCAAAACGATAAATGACGTCCGAAGAAACTGTTGCTTAAACAGATGCACTGAAGTTTGGCACCGTCTTTCTGTTGCAGTGACAGTCTGCGAATTGCAACCAGCGTTCAAATAGGTCATTTTCAGATAACTAACTACCTGAGGTTAAAACGCGTAGGAATAGTTCTGCAATTAAGTTGCAATAAAAGATACTATTTAGGTGGGGTCCGAGACGTAAGTGTGCTGATTGCAAGTAAGCACCAAATATCCTACGTACAATCTCTTTATTTGACCAGGCCCTCCCGAAGATGCGCAAGGAAAAAACAAAAGTTGGCAAGAATCAACTTACTTTCCCACGAAACCCCCCTTACTTCTTCACATGGGAAAGCATAATTCACAGGCATACAAATAAGTATGAGCTGTAAGTGGTCTACAAACGGATTGATCTAGTCATATTTGTCTCCTCTCCGCAGGATAGGCTATCCTGCTTCAAATTTCCACTTTATAATTGTAAACACCTGATGAGATTTATCGAAAAGAGTGCTCTTCGCAATCTTGTGTTTTAGCATACTCTTTTACTCGGTCACACTTTTCCTGAAAAAATGTCAGACGGCCAAAAGAAGCTAACTGGACTACTTCTTTCCCACATTCTTTTTCTAATTTCTTCCTAACCTCGTACGCTTACCGTACAATTAAACTAAAATGCCTGAGGCGGTTGAAGAATGCCAACCACGTCCGCCTCACATACATCTAACCAATCTCCCCTTTTGCTTCTCTCGGCGTTCATGCACAGCTGCTAAGCTGAAAATAATGGAAAACCTTCACCTTTCAATACCAGGTCTTAGAGAACCACGAAGAGAAAATACGTTGCCAAAATCAGGTACTATATTCATCACTTTACATTTGAGTTTCAGTATTCCTTTTAGAAAAGGAAAATCGGAATCCTCCGCATAAGCAGCTCACTGCCAGGACGTCAAGAAATATTTTGTGTTCATATGGAACTTTGACCTGGAGAACTCTCATTGATAAAATTAGGATTCCCATTTTGGCCTGAGATGTTGGCCATTGTGTGGATCTTATGTGGAATAATTGCGAAAAATTGATCATATGGAAATGGGCATGTCTCTTGAACCTGTAAATATACCTTATGATTAATTTAATCACTAAACTCTCAATGCTAGTTGTTTTCTCCTTGATTATCTGAACCATCTGAACTAGTGATCGGTACTGAGGATTATTTATTCAAGTTTTTATGTGCATCAATTACGCCCTGAACCTCAAAAGTTTCATACATAATCATTATTTCCTTTCCGAATGCCGGCTTACGCATGAACTTAAAGCACTGAGGTATGATAACTCGGTTAGATATTTTGTCCATCAGGAAACCAGGAACTGCTATCATTTAACCGCTGGAGCTGAAAGTAAATCATTCTGGCATAGATTAAATTAATCAGATTTATGACTTGCCGCCCGAGCTCGCGTGACGTCCATATTTTCCGATTGACTTAGTTTCTCTGATTTTAATTATGTCAGCATTTTGTCGAATTTTCATATGCTTCTAACTGCTGGTACAGAATTAAATTTTATCCGGTTACGATAGGAGTTCTAACAACACCAATAAATCAGAATTGGCTTGCGTGGTTGTTCGAGACTCACCAGATGGGATGTTTGAAACAAAAGCGATGGATAACACGTAGGACCGAAAAAAAGAACACAAACAAACCCCAGCCTCTTGCACTTTTCTA